GGGGAGGACGGGGCCGGGCCCTGTGCCCCGTGTCCCTCTGCCAGGCGGGGTTCCTGTCCCCGGACCGGGTCCCTCTCCTTGTCCCCATGCCGGGTCTCCATCCCTGTCCCTTGCCCCTGGCACCCCCCACCTTCAGGCGCCCCCCCCCCGGCTGTGTCCACGAAAGGGGTTCTGCCCCGTGGTACCTATTTTTTGGGGGGGGCAGGAAGGATGCTGTTGCCATAGCAACGGGGCAGGAGGATGAGGAGCGGGCTGTTGCCGTAGCAACAGAGAGGAGCGCGTTGCCGTGGCAACCCGCAGCCTCCGAGGGGGCTGGTCCTCCCCCCATCGCCACGGCAACACGGGGAGATGGGGGAGCAGGCGACTGTCTCCGTGCCAACAAGAGGGGAGGGAAGGCAGGGAGACGGTTACCATGGCGATGGCAGGAGGAGGGTACCTCCGCGCTGCCGCTCTCCCTGGCAACACACATCCTTTGCCATAGCAACAGGGAGCAGGAGGCTGCGGGCCGGGGAGGGGTGTGGGCAGCCGGCCCCCCCTTGGAGGGGAAGGGATTATGGCCGCCTCCAGCAAACTGTCCTAAAAATTTGCCAGCCCAGGCGTGAAGGCGGCACCATGCCTGCTGCACCCCCAAGTTGGCTGAGGTTGCCCCCCACAAAACCGGGGGTTTTTGTTCCTCTGGGAAAACAGAGGCAGTTTGGGGGGGTATGGTGGCAGAAGAAGGGGGGCGAGTCACAAGGAGCAGGGTAATTTGCATTAAAAATATAACCCTATCAGGTCTGGGAATGTGGAATTGTGACAGTTACAACCGACACTTGCAAATTGCAGAACGAGGAAGAAGGAAAAGCCCTGTGTGTTTATTTTTTTCGCTTCATAGCACTCTCAGTCCGCTTTCCTCATCCTTACCTTGGCAATGCGAGAGGAGACATCTGCTTCAGTAAGTAGGGAAGTTTCAGGGAGACATGTATTTGTGTATGAGGGCTTTAAGCAGGAGAACTCAGAGGTACATGCAAAACTACAACTGCTCCTCAGTTTGATTTGAGACCAACTGCATTTTCCACTGATGATGGTTTCAGCTCAGGTCACAGGATCCACACGTCGTTTCCAAGAAAGAAAAATAATGTTTTAAACATCCTGTGAGCCTTCGGCATGAAAAGAAAAAGCACACCTTACTAAAAACCTTATTGGGAGGGTCACCTTGAGCTGAAAAGACACCGGTCTACATGTGTCAGTGGACACACAACAAAAATAAACAATTGAGGGACTGGTACATCTGGGGTTTGTTTCCTGTGCATGGGTGAGGTGTCAGATTTAGGTCACCCTGCTCCCTGTTTAAGCCGCGGTTCCTCCAAGCACCTTTTAATACATCTCTGAAACACTTTGACACGGCATGATGCAACATGCAGAAAGCGTGAAATGTTGCCGGAACTGAAGGGAGTGGGTATTTAAAGAGCTTCTGTGCAGAATCATTGCTTTTTAAGGCTGGCTTGGCCCTGATGATTGAGTCTCCTGCAGCAGCAGCTGCTGCTCTCTCCTGACTTCTCAGCAGTAACAGGATCCTGTGTCCCTCTTGCATTTAGAGTAAGGCTTTTGCTGCTGCTATGAAGGAAACCCAAAAGCATCAGGTTCGGGGACGGCAGGGAGAACACACATATATATATAATTTCACCCACTTGGCAGATCTGAGTGTATGAAGTTCTCCGATGCTCCTTAAAGCAGGGGGATTGCATTCCTCCCTCCCTATAGGGTTACTGCCAACCACAGCCCTGTCCCCTGACCCATGGGGCAGCGATCGCCCCACACTGACTGCCCTGAGCCCCATTAGAGGGGTTTACAGTTACACCAAAGCCTTCTCCTAGCCCAGTATGGATTCTCTGGCTCTCCTTGCCAGCAAAGCTACTTAAAAGGAGAAAAAATAATCTAGGTGTTTCGTTTCCCTGGCCCCACCACTGTAACCCCTTCTGTTTCGATTGCTGGGAGAAATCCAGGACAAAGAGCTCAGTCTTATTAGTGGCGAGGCAGCCAAGCCCTAGTACAAAATGTATTATTTGTTGTGTCTGTGAGCAGCCAGGACACCCCAAAACAAGGTGGCCAGGCCAGGCCCCACCCCCCCCAGGAGCATCATGGCACAAAACATGGAAACACACAGCCACCTGCATGGAAAAAGCCAACCCAGGCTATTGCAAACTTATTTATTTATGAAGTGTGAGGTAATGAAGAAAGTGCTACATCCGACCACAGTGTTAACTCTAACTGTTCTCAGCAGGAACCCAAGGGTGCCATCCTGCAGGAGCACCCCTGGGAGGGGACAGGGGACTCTGCCACCCTCCCCACCCCCCCCCCCCCCCC